ATTTACTGAAGAACAGAGGGTGCCGCAGAAACAGGACTCTCAATAATAAACGCAAACAAAAATTTCAAAAAGGCTGGTGAAACAGGAGAGGAGCTGTGGTGGACAGGCAGACTGATGACAGACAAAAGAAGAAGGAAAGATGAGACTTTATTTACACAGTCRGAGGCTGATGTGACGCAAGTCAACAAGAGGCAACAAAGACAGGAAGTGCAAGAATCTGAAAGGATGAAAAACTATAAAGAAAGCAAATTAGACAGTTTAATTGAAAAACATCACCACTTGAAACAACGCACATTGCTCACTGCCAGGTTCAAAGAGTGTTTGCCAGCTGAAAACATTTAAAATAAAACCTAAATAGTAAATTAATTATTACTGTCTATATCAGGGGTGTCAAACTCATTTTCACCGAGGGCCACATGAGCGTTACGGTGGCGTTGTGGTGGCCCTCGAAGGGCCACTTGTAATGAACTTTGACTAAACAATGTTTAAACACGTACTTTTTAAAACACTGATTAAGAACTATGTGTACGACGGACTAAATCTGAAATAAAAACAGAAATATTATTTAGTTTATGGTCGATGCTGACTTTAAGCATCTTATTTTCAGACATTAATACTGTGCTAAATTGCTCACGTAGTTCAAGCCAACAGCTCAGGGACAGGAATTTATTAAAATTGTTTTTTATTTCATTTATTTTTATTAAATTTATTTTGTTGCATTTAATCATAAATTTAAAGTATACCATTATTAAAAGAAACAAATTTCATGCTGAGCAATAAATAAACAAATAAACAAAAATAAATAAATAAATAAATAAAAATTGGGGGGGTACCCCCCTGGCGGGCCACACRGGAGTCACCCGCGGGCCGCATTTGGCCTGCAGACCTTGTGTTTGACACATGTGGTCCATATAATGAAAATCTGACACCTGTCTACAGGAACATCACAAGCTCCTGGCGAGGGTTGAATTCCCTCACCTCTCTGTCCGCCTGCTCAGAGGTTAAATTTCCTTCGACGGCGTCGTGTGCTCATACGGTTCCTCGCCGCGTACAGGTGGCTGCAGTAAATATTAGCTTTTCAAATGAACACGGCCGCCCTGAGATATTTAAAGGCAGAAATTGAGAGGATTTCTTTTTTTTTTTTCTCTTTCTCTTGGTGTGCTGCTCCAAACCAGCAGTAGACTGTTGGGTCACATTTGACAAACGCTGCGTTCAGGTTCTACCTAAATGCAAACAAACTGCTGCTTTGCTGCACTTACTGTCGCAGCGTTTCTCCCCCGATCGTGCACATGCACAGAACGCTGCAGACGAACGGCAGCACATGTGGCAGGATGGCACTGCGGGCCTCTCCCTGCGCCGGAGACACATGGAAAGACTGAAAGCGGTGGAGTTCTGGTTAGCTGGCAGCCACAAGTACACTGAAAATGAGACCTTAACGGATTGTTGAGAGGCAGTGTCACTTTTTCCGCAACTTGTCCCTTCAGAGCGCTTCTTTTTGCATCGGCGGAACCAAAGGCCGGGCTTTCTTGAAGGAACGCAGTTGGGATATTCCGCTAAACGATGGGCAGAGTTGATTTTAGCAGTTAATCACAACCAGTTGGGCCGCGCATTGTAGGAGTTAGAGACCAGTCGCAGCCACGAAGCAGAACCACGACGCTGGAAAGGATGCTGCAGTTTGGCATCACAGCGCTGCGTCGAGGTAATTACACAGCAGGAAAAAAAAATTGGACGCTTGGAGTTTGGAGGCCGTTTACGCAGACAAAGCTGAATAAAAAGAGCTTTCATTTTCTACATACAGCAGGTCAGGGATGCCAGCCTTCGAGGTTATTTAAAGGCTTCTCAAATGCTTTTTAGCAATTGGCTGCGTTTGCTCACCATGTGGTTGTTGACTATGTGGGAATAGGTGATGTGTTTTGCTCTTGTTTGTATATTATGGCTGCCAGAAGCGCTCTTTCATCGAGCCACTTGCTTCAAACCGCTGTCAGTGACAGAAAGCTTCCAGGCCGCTGTGTGCTGCGACACTTAGGGAGTTTTTTTTTCTTGCTCTTTCAATCCGCTGTTTGTCTCTGTGTGAGTGTGCATTCAACAGATAAATGTTTTATTTAAATATTCAATTCAGTCAGTTTTACAGATATAGTGCTAAAACTGGATGTGGCAGCTGAGAGGCTTCTCCAACACACAGAGTGTGACATATGACAACTACAACTTATACATGTTTGTTTAAGGTCATTTTTGTTTAAGTTTAATAAGAATCTCTTTTTAAACCAGTATAAAGGCCCTGTCTCATAACGTTTTAGACAACTTGTGCAAACTTATGAAAATTTTGTTATGACTGTTTTACTCGTATCATCAATATACTCAATCTAATTGTTAGATTACAGTATGTATAAATCCAAAAGAGGCTCCCAGTAGATTTTTTTTATTCCATCTTCAGCTTAGACATCTTTAGCATTGGACCAATTTTTCACAAGTTGTCTAAAGAGTTACGTATAGTGTGACATGGCCTGTACTCGTACATATCAAGTTGCACAGATCATCCATAAATTTCACATATTTGCCCCCATTTTGCAGGTATTCGGACATATAGGGCAATCTCCCAGATTTTTTCAAAAACTCAGCTTCAAATTTATTTTACGTCTCACAGGACGTTAAAAAACAATAAATAAAGTTAAGTAATCATCTTCCAACCTTCTCTGCTGCTACAAAGAAGTAGACATAAGTTCTCCACCGCTGTTATCGCTGCCCTACATTCTGCCACGTTTCAGTAGCTCAGATTTTTTGGGAAAATTGCAGATTTTTGAGGGTCAAAGTACAGCTAAGTGTCCACAGGGGTTGTCACATCTTTTTATGTCTCAGTATTTTAGTAAAACTAACAAAAGTTTAAACGGTGGAGGGATGAGCACACCGGTCCTCGTTCTGTCCTCGAGGGGTTCGATCAGAAYGACTCATTCATTCATTTCTCTTTGACAGAGGGACAATTTTTTTTCTTCCTTTGCTAAAACACAAAAAAATCAGGTCCGTGAACTTCTGTTGCACTTTTTTTTTGTATTTCAAGAGACAAACTTTGATGGAGGAATTTGTGTTAGTGTCTGAGCATGTGGATTCAAAGTGCAGGAGAAAGGAAACATGTGAGTGCCTGTTTGTGTTACCCCCAGGAGAATCCTTTTAAACCTAAATCCTCCCGTCATTATTGCTTCTTATTCCATTTCCTCTTCCACTTCAGCTCCACACGTCTGTCCGCTGCTCTGACTTTCTGCGAAGCATCATCTGAAACGTTTCTTAAAGGTCTTTTTAGAAGCTCGGTGGTTAGTGCGGAGCCTGGCTTCACTCTCTCACCTTAATGTAGTTGTTAACAGCTTGTGGTCACGAGCGGTTTGTGTGGCTTTGCTGTCGGAGCTGACAGACTCGCTGGAGGCCGTGGAGCTCCGGTGCTGGAAATGAATGAAGGAATATGGGGCTTTGTTTGAGATATTTTTAACAATATAGTTAGTGCTTGTTATCTCGACGTTTTAACTTAGTCATTCTTGCAGTTTGGGATTTWAAAAAATGATCATAATTCAAACCTAAAGTTATATTTATTAGRTAATCTATCAGCTTGGTTTGCATGATATGTGTTTAATTGTCACATTTACCCCTCATAATGAAAATGATAAGATGCACAATATCATTGCCATATAATCAAATAATTAAAAAGTTATTTTTATTGGTACAAAAATGAATGTCATGGATAAATTTAGGGCTAACTTACAGAA